AGAGAGAGAGAGAGAGAGAGAGAGAGAGAGAGAAAATGTTGGCGTTTTTACGATTGTTTGTAATGCATTTGTACATGTCTGAATCTCTGCTTTAAATCTTTTCTTCTTATATTTACCATAATATCTCTGTTTATGAAAGGTTCGTACTTCTGTTGTTGTTCTTGTTGTTGCTGTTGTTGTTGTTGCTGCTGTTGTTGTTATTGTTGTTCTTCTTCTTCTTATGTATGTTTGTGTGTATGTCTGTGTTGGTTTTTGTTTTGTTTTGTTTTGTTTTTGTTTTTCTTTCTTTTTTAGCGTGTTCAGGTTAGTGTTAGCTTGTCTTTTTCTGTTTCATTAATAACACTCGTTACGGTGAATTTGTTCAAGCATGTGCTCAGCAAAAGGTAAGTGGAGCATTAGTTCCTTCGAGTTTTCGCTAACTTTTCACCGTTTTAGTGTGTTATTCATTCATGTGACGCGTTTTATTAAACAGTCGACAACCTCTGTAATGGTTGTCATCAGAAATCGATTCGAATTTGTTTGTTCTATACACTCTTACAAACTAACAGAATTTGGCGCTTACCTCTTTTTTGTTTTGTTTAATTTGTTTTTGGCTATGTAAATTTTTATCTGTCTTTCCGTCTACGATAAAGCTTTGCATAAACAGTAAAAAATTTGTTGAATTACATTTTTCGAAAGCAAAGCACAAACAATTTATTGACAGTAGCGTTGCGGAATGAGCTTCAACTTTACGCTTGTTTATAAAGTTAAGTGTCTCTCTTACTATTTATCGTTGTCTATGCTTCGACTTCATAGTATGAATAATTACATTTTGGCTATCTATTTTAATACTTCACTTCCTGTATCATGTATATTCGCACAGCATGAAACGTTTGTTGACATTCTGGCGTTGTTTTGCCGTCGACTGATTGTTATAATTGAATCATTATTTCAGATCTTTGCGTCACGTTGTCTCAGTAAAAGAAATACTGTGCTAATTATGATGCCTTAATGTTTAAACTTGTACTTTGACTTTATTATTTTTGGAAAGGAAATGGTATTTTCGTTTACTTTTGTCCGCATATATTGTTATTGGGAGTTTGACCTTAAATTTCTCATTTGTCCGTACGTTTGTCTTTACAACTAGGATCTGGAGGAGTGTGTATGTGTTCTGTTCACACAATACAGAAAGCAATTCAGTATCCCTCTCTTTCTCTCTTTTTCTCTCTCACTCTCTCTCTCTTTCTCATTCTTTCTCTCTCTCTTTCTCTCTCTCTCGCTCTCTCTCTCTCTCTCTCTCTCTCTCTCTCTCCC